TTATTAATCCCAAAGGGAAATTAAATTAAATTCTGGGTATTTAAAAATTTTATGTAATTTCGGACATTTAGGATGTTTTCTCAGCTGGAAATGTTAAAAAATGCCTCCATCCTCATAAGTTTATTATAAACTGGTGGGACACATGAGATAAGAGAAAATTCTGAGTCCATTGATAATTTCATTACTGATTGCAGCAGCCTAAATGATTACTGCAGTGGTTTACTGAACACACCAGGGATCCAATATACTTCAATTGCTTTGGTGACCCCTCTAAATCTATAGGGATTGACCGTCAATAGTTGCACATAAGGCAGCATACCGGTAGCTGGGAGCAGCTAGAAAAGCACAGGCTGTTTCCATGGAGTCAAAGCTCCAGTTGGGAGGTAATTAGATGCCTGTTGTTTCTCCACTGTGACGCCCCCTCCTCTCTCTTGTATTTCCCTAGAACCCCTTGTTTGCCCTCTGTCTTTCTGTCTCTTTCTCTCTGTTTCTTGTGACGGAGCAATTCCAGGCGTGAAGTCCATCTGCCACGACCCGTCAGCGAGATCAGCCCCTTCATCTCTGTGTCAGTTGCAGAGCTTCCATTGAGCCAAAGAACATCCAAGGCCTGTCAGAGGCACAAACCATCACAGTGCTCGGTCCCTTACTCTCTTCAGTACTGTACTGAGACTCAGAAGAAAAAAAAAAAAGTGCAAATTCATACCGATATTGCCAGAATAGGCTTCCTTTGCGCTTTAGCGGGAAACTCCTGTGTGTCCCTAGAAATTCCAGACTGACGGAGCAGAAGCATACCAGCAAAACTGGTTTATGACCAGACCCAAGCAACATTTGATGTGTTAGTTGCAGAAGTCTAATTTAATAAGTTAAAACTATGGATGTTGTGACTGCAAAGGTTAAGAGAAAATCCAGTTCTGATTTGGTGAAAATGTTAAAATTGATGGCCTAAACAGAGTCTTTACTTTTACTTAAAATTACATCACAAAAAGCACTGAGACATCTCTCGACTTAAGCATAAAAACATCAGAGGTATGGCCAAATGTCCCTTGGATGATGAAGTAATTATCAGGTACTGCATAGCTGCTACTGAAGGAAGAGGAATCAACATCCGCAAGGCGTTCGAAAGAAAATTTGGAGGAAGTACAAAAAGCGTTAAGCATCTTTGAGATTTATTCTGGCTGCAAGAGAGCAAGACTTTTATCAGATAACAGAAAGGCTAAATATACTGAATCAAAGTTGCTCTTTTTTACATGAGCAATATGAAATTAAACCCAAAATTCTAATCAGTGCTTATCAAAATATTTAGTGGTAGTAGCATCATGTTTGGTAATAGCATAAGGTCAAGTCAGCTCTTTACAATGAGTCTTTCATGAAGCGGGCTTCCTGGGTAGAAACAGGACAACAGAATCCAGTCATGTCTTAAGGGCAGCATAGTGAGATTCTTTGCAACACACAAAGCCCTCCCCCCCCGTACACACACAGCAATAAACCTGAAGACGATAAAGCTGTCATCTCTACCAGACTAACAGCTTCTGGGTGTGCCTCCCCGTTGACCTGCCCTAAAAAGACCTCCATAGTTTGGCCTCATCTTGCGGAAGCGTTCCTTTTTCACGTCCAGACTAAAACTTCACACCATCATTAGCAGAGCTGCTGTTATTCCCTGCTGATCAGACGGGAGGGAACATGATCCGGCCTGCTGTCTGTACCTGCTGCATTCTTGTTACCACTGATTTCTGACCGACCCCTGCTTCTGGTGGCTCGTACCTGCATGGCTCCCTGTCTTCAGCAGTGCTGGAGTAAGCTGTCTCTTTTAATTCATGTCTGATCTTGCTGCTCAGGGAAGCAGACCTTCATGATCAGAGCACCCACAAGGTCACCTAATGCAGTGAACCAAGAAAAGTCCAAACAAAGACCAGCTTAATCACTGGTGGGCAGAGGATGATGATGAAACAAGATGGGGGTTTTATTGGCAGCATTTAATTCAATTAATCCAAACAAGCATCACATGTGATTCTGCTTAGTTTTATTTTTATACCACCAAGACACTATAAATGAGCCCTCAAGCATCAAGAAGGCACGGTGCAGAGACTGAAGCTGTGGGTATGTGTGCACGTTCCAGAGGCACATGAAGCATTAGGAGCATTATTAACAATCTGGACAACGTGTCCCTGCCTGGCCCTTCTTTAAACTGAGCCAAGTTTGCTTTCCATCCACTGCAGAAAACTGTAAAAGGCATAAAATACCAGCTACTGCTGCAAGGCTCCTGCACTCCTATGGATGCCCTACCTAATCTTTAAACATGTTTGTAATTCCAGGAAATACGTGACAATATACAAACAGGAGGTAACGCTTTACACCAATATTTCAACTCACATCCATCCATCCATCCATCCATCCATCCATCCATCCATCCATCCATCCATCCATCCATCCATCCATCTTTACAGGAAAAGTAAATGTTGAAAACATATATGTAAAGAAGTGCATTAAAATAAAACAAACCCAAACTGATCTGCATAAATAATAACACAAATATTGGCGGTTAGAGAAAGAAAAACTAATTTAAGATAAATAAAGGCAGAAAAATGGCCCCTCATACTGTCAGGTTAGGCAAAAACTTAACCCCTTCTGGGCCTTTAAGCAAATGATAATGATGACTTTGGAAGAGCTGCTGATTCAATTATAATTGTTATTTTGGTTATTATTAGTAGTAGCCTATTAGTAGTAATTTATTTTAAAATCCTTAAATCATCATTCAGTAAATTGATAAATTATTTAATATATCAATAATGATAAATCAGCCCAAAAATGGACGGACAGCGTCTGACCCGGCATATGCTCTGTATGCCTAATGGCCTGTCCAGCCCTGGTGGTTCTATTATTAGTATAGTTAGGGAGCAATAAGCACAAAGTGTCCCAAATGCTCTGCAAGCAAACATTTTAACCTAAGATTTAAAAAAAAAAATAACTAAAGGCAGTACTGCATAATGTAGCCAGAACTCAGTCCAGTTACATACAGTAACACTCTATAGTTTTGGGTTTTTGAGATGTCTTGATTACTCCTCTTTTAACAAGAACATTTCTAAATGTGCATTTAAAAATTAACTGAAACTATTAATATCATCGTTTTTAAGAAAAAAACAACATATCATATTTCCTTCTTCCAACATACAGTCATTTCAATAAGCAGCTTCCTGGAGCTACATTTTTTCCCCCCTCTAATACAAATGGTGGCAGCAGTAATACTCTCAAGTGGAATATTCAAAATATTTAAATTGTTTTTGTGGTTAATTATACACATCAATATACTAACATCAACGATGATAAGTACAGAATTCATGCTCTTTTCAGAACTAGATTTTTTGTTTTATGGGGTAAAGAGAAAAGTATGTCTCCACAAGTCATCTAGGAGTCTTCAGTGATACTGTATCATAGATAAATAACTATTTTAAGAAAAGCGTATCAAATAATCAATTTATATAGGTATTAGTGCTTGTAAATATGAATTTTATGCAGAATGTTTATTGATACAAGCAGGTAATGACAATGATGATTGATTTACACCCCAGAACTCAAAACGGAGTTTCATCCACTATACCTTTTATCTAGAAATTACGGATGTTTAAATATATGCGTCTATTTGTTAGCAAAGGCTGTAAGAATGTATACCGTAAATCCTCTACTATTGGCCTGTATTCCATTAGCGGCCGGGTCTCTAATAATGGCCTGTCTTGCTATCGGCGGAGGTAAATAGTGGCCGCACTCGTATATAGGCTGTGGCTATAATTAGAACCAACAATGTTCCTGGGCAGTCCTCAACAACTTGTGATAGTAACATACAACTACCACAGGGGGGCAATGTTTGCTAATGAATCCAAGCCATTAGCATGGGAAGTCCCATCCTTACACAGAGATCGTAGTGGCCTTACACACTCGTTCTGATCTGACAGACAAATGTGATTACCGGTAGGTCTGGTGGTTACCAGGCAGCGTTAAAATGACAGAATTTCATTGGCCTTCGTTGTTCTGAATTTCCCTTGAAATATATGATACTGGTGGCCTACTTCCACTAAGCCTGCCTCAAATAAAATTTTGCTGTGATGGCAGAACAGTTTCCATTATTTAAAAAAAAAAAAAACTTTGTTTTGCAAGTCAGTTTGGCTAGATTCCATTCTGTATTTTTATTTTTTTTTTTCGTATTGCAGTGCAGAAAAATTGCAGCTTCCGGTAAGATGTCTACAGTAAATCATTTTCTGTATACCGTTATGGTAACTGAACTTTTTCTATAAATGAACCACGTATTTTATAGGTTTAAAGAGACACAAAATCTGGTTTTTATTCATTCCACTGGTAGTCTGTTTTAATCAAATAGAAATAGAGGCCTGCCTCTAATTCTGACCTCCTTTCAATAATGGCCAGGACCAAGATGTACCTGAGTGAAAGAAAGGCCCCGTCCTATATTAGAGGATTTACGGTAGTTAGTCTTTATTTAGAAAATATAGATGTTTTGCTCATTAATTTTCCTGTTGGAACAGTGAAGATTGACCCTGAGGTTCTGATGCCTATTTGCTTTCTGCCCCCCCCCCCCCATCATTGGTTATTGCCTGGCCACCCTTATAAAAATTTCTGGCTACGCCTCTGCTGCAGACTCATACTGTCACATCTGCTGAACTTCTCTTCTAATGCTAGAATGGACATTCCTTTTTGTATGTTTTTTTTTTTTTTAGGTCTATGAGAAGTAAAACATGACCCCCCCACCCACCCCCCACCCTTTAAACAGGCGCTGACTCACGGCTCCGTGTTTTTTTTTCCACGGTAGTAAAGTGATGCAAGGTGCGCCACATTCTTCACACCAGAATAAATGATGAGCACATGCATGGGTGACTAATAAAGTTTCATCCTTGTTTCATTCACTATGTTAACACCTTATAAACACGTACAGGTAGCACAGGCGTACAGGCTTAATGTTAACGGTTAGTTGTCCCTCCCAGCGCCGCACTCACCAGTACTAAACTGGGATCCCCATCTCCGATTTGTATCCGATGTGAAACCAGTAGATCTGCCGCCACAGATATTCCCAAGGCAGTCAGTCGGTGATCCCAGCAGTTTATTCAGCCGTCATGAGTGGGAGAAGTGGAGTCCAGAAGTACCGCCGCCGGGTGGATAAAAGTGAATGTCAGCTGGTTTAAGGTCCTGGATCTGGGCGGATGATCAGCGGACATGGACCGATGCTTTAACTCCCTAAAGGGATGCTGACCTTCCGCTCCTGCGACACCGAGACACGGAGGACCGTCAGGTGCAACAGCACGTCCTCTATAGCCAACTGAGTAAAGCTGCGCGGAGGAGAGGAATGACTATCTACACTAGTGTCAAGGTGCTAAATTTACCCTGCTTCCGCTTTGGATTTTCAAAATAAAATGCTTGTTGCGCTGACCTGCTAATTGGTGGCAGGGCAGGGCGGGGCTATTAGTATGCACACCTGAAGTGCTTTGCCTCACATCCATCCATCCATCCATCCATCCATCCATCCATCCATCCATCCATCCATCCATCCATCCATCCATTATCTGACACGTTTTATCCCGAGTGGGGTCGCGACGGGTGCTGGTGCCCATCTCCAGCTGTCTACGGGCGAGAGGCAGGGTACACCCTGGACAGGTTGCCAGTCCATTGCAGGGCAACACAAAGAGGACAAACATCTATTAATACACACAAACTCACGCCTATGCAGAATTTAAAAAAGCCATTTAAACTAACAGTCATGTTTTTGGACTGTGGGAGGAAGCCGGAGTACCAAAAGTCTACAGTCACATAATGAGCCAGCTTCTTTAAACTTGTTTTGTTCCTTTTTTTTTTAACAGATTGCACTATAGAAAGTGTTTCTAGATATTATTTTATGTCTTTGCTTGGGACTATATATCAACACAAAACTGTAAATCAATTAATTAAAAGATGTTGACTTGATTATAGCTATAATAGCCATGGTTTTATATTGTATCATTAGTAGGAATTATTTTTGTAAGATATTATGCTACATATTCTTTACACATCTTGTTTAAATTTTGTGAAAAATAATGTTAAGAAAAAGTTACTGAACCATGAAAATGACCAATATTATATCATTAAAATGTTCCAAAGTGTTAAGTTTAGGCCTTTTTACAAAGGATTTCTAACAGTGTCTTAGTATTTCAGTTTGCTATTGTTAAATTCCTCAAAAATTCTCAGCAACAACTAATATGTTATTGAAATGCTCAAGAGTCTGCAAAAACTTGAGATAAGCTTGCTGCGTATATCCTTTAATGATGCAGACAAATAAAAAACAAGATATCAACGAAACTAGTTTCTGACAAATGAATTTAATCACCTATCTACTTAAAAAATAGAGAGTAAGCATTAGTTAGAATATATTTGCAAAAATATATATTTCCTGATAATCTGAATAACAAATTATTTGGGAATATTTTTTGTTGCAATCAAACAAAAAAACCTGTGGATAAATGAACATCCTCCAAAAAGTCCTCTTAGACTGAGTGCGCTTTTATTTTGAAGGATGTAATACTTCCGGTAGTGTTGTGCAGTTTCTGCAGCTTCTGAACATCTTAATCTATTCTGTTTAAAGAAAATTAAAAGACTTCATGATTATATACTTGTCTCTCTTGCTGTGTAACGTCTACCCTGAGGACCCGAATGTTTATTTAATTCATAACCATAAGTTCTTTATTTAGTTGATGAATCATCTCTATTTAATGAGCTTTTAAAGCACATGAATATTTGCCCCTTTAGCATTTATTCTTAAGCATATCTAGTGATATTACTCTAGTACAGCCTAACTGGCACTCAACCCTAACCCCTTAATGTTCAGTGATTGCTGAATATGGGAATTAGACTCTGACATTTATGCTGTTGTCTATTAAAACGTAAATCAATGAACACTATCAATACAAGCAAAAAAACAACAACCAAACAAAAAAAACAAAAAAAAACTGTTTAAATCAGGTTTTTATTTAGATGCAAATGTATAATAATAAACACAATAATAATAAAAGTATTATGCCATTAATGTGTGTAGAAACATGAAAATAAATGATACATAGATTGAATTAAATTACATTTCATGGAGTACTTCTACAAAACAAGCTCAGTTCGAAACCCCACATAAGTTACATCAAGGCAAAACTGTGTAAATCTCTTACAATAATAACTACATAAAGAACTCTTAAATGAAAGAAACTACTTTTTACTGTTCCCTGGTTCTCCCTTACAGGACCTATGTCCTAGACGTATGGGGAAATACATATAAAACCAATATTAACCAAATTAGCATCATTACAGAAAGAGCGATCTATATTGTGAATAAAGTAGCCTAGTGAGACCATCCTGATCTCGCGAGCTTTCAAGATTTCACTCGCTAATC